ACCAGAAGCCAGGCAAAAACTTCTCCCAGACCCAACACTCTCCATCATTGAACTCCTCCAGTTTTCTCATTCATTCCATTTTTCTTTGTATTCAATGTGCAGGAGGCGCTGCGCGCCCTCAGTGTCAGTTTCGGAGCGAAAATTTCATGTTTTTATGAGTCACCAAATCAATTCACCATTTGCCTCCGGGGTGCGTGACAACCGTTACATTTGGCCGCCGGCGAAGTGGCCGTGACACGTGACAGGTGAATTGAATGAAATGGCCCAGTAACAAGGGTTCATGGGGTAAAACCCACTACTGAAGTAGCGGGAATGCATATGACGAAAAAATGACCATGACAAAGTTATATGCATATAGCCCGGTTAACGTTGGGTTAACTCACTCACAAGGATATAAAAATTTCCTTCACGACGACGTCGGAAACCGAGCAATGAGGAGCTGCACGCTCACTGTGGTAGCGGGGCTTGGAGGACTGATCATCTCCGGTATGGTGTAACGGCTAACATTGCCGCCTTTCATAGGTATTACTTGGCCTCTGACGCGGCAGCTCGGGGTTCGATTCCCCGTACCGGAATTTTTGTATCAGGGATGTGTTAAAATTTCTTCCAGTGGATGGAAGGGTATTGGAAGTCAGGAGGTCTTCCACTGATGTCGTCGGGTATGGTGTAACGGCTAACATTGCCGCCTCTCATAGGTATTATTACTTGGCCTCTGACGCGGCAGCTCGGGGTTCGATTCCCCGTACCCGAAATATTTTTTATCAATGCGTTTATCATTGCAATCCTTTCGCTGATTTAATACACACCCGGGACCAGCTTCCATGGAACTTTCTTCGCCCACCTCTCCCATTCGTCTCCAAACCGCACTCTAAGCATCTGGTCTTCCCTCTCCATCCGTCCGCGTACCGCCCGGGCTGCGACGGCAGCTCCTACGACAAGTACCCCGAATATCGCGAACATTCCTGGCGTGTCGCGCGGCCAGAGGCCAGAGCACTCGCGCAACCACGAACCAGGCGCTAAGACACTGAGGAGAGCACCGCTGCCAGCGAGGATAGCGCCTGTGTGGCTGGGGTGCCTGACATACGCGTACGGACCATGAGTGACGAGATGGTGGTCCTTCCGGATGCTTAGTTCGAACGTGAACTTGGTGTCAAGTATGCGGTAGCAGCGCTGCCTGATCAGGGCCCCTGTAAGTGCGAGCACCCAACCAAAGAGGAAAGGGACCGAAGTGCTGAGCTCTGTGTGTGTTGGTGATGACACGTCACGTGCGAGGAACCTGAAGAGACGCTGTGAGAGCGCGTATGTAGGATTACAGTTCGCGAGGATAACAGTTATCTCCGCGAGAGACGCTGTCCAGAAGAACACCTGATAACAATGTTTCGACATCGTTAGCCATCGCTTGCAGCAGAGGATATGACACCACCTGGCCAGCCTTGTGGCCGCCCACCTTGGGAATCGGTGGAACCACAGCCGCGACATGTTCGAGTCCAGTGGGTGGGAGACGCTCCTCTGCGCTTGGGGGAGGGTTCGGAGCGGTCATCGTTGTGTGGACACTCCATATCACTGAGGAAAGAAAAGGGACCTTCATCAAAGACATTGCCTGATGGAGTAGCTTAGAGGACCTAGTATGCTACAGTAGCACGGGTCAAGCGCGCGATTCGCAAACGTGTCCGCTAGTCGGATCACAACGGCACTAACTAACCAGCGAGTCGGAAGTCCACGAGTCTGTGGCGCTACTTATGTAAGAGAAACGACGCTCTTTATTTCTATCCAAATTATATTGTCGAAATTTTCAGATTATGAAAAAATGTGATACCCCTCCAGTCAGGACATCATGGTAGCTAGCTAATACGGATGAAGAGTTGGTGCGTCACCGAAATTCTTTCAGAGATAGAAATTATAATAAATACGCCTATTTTATATTAATATAGATTATATATGGTTTCTTTATTACTTCATTTTAGCATTTTAGGGGCACCGGCGCCACAACCTGAGTGCGCGTAAAACATAAAAATTCAGCACATGGGGCCCTGCAGAAATTTGAAATAACGGGGGTTTCATGCAATATAATCGATAAAGAACAGTTTTAATGATGCCTATCCGATTGTGAGGGCGTTGGATGTGTACCTAGTATATCCCCGGCACTAGCCTGTGAGGCACTCTCGCCGCCCACATATCCCACTCCTCGCCGAAATTTCTGCGCAGAATTTCGTCTTCCCTGGGAATGCGGAGTACCAGGCTCGCTACGACCGCTCCGGCAATTCCCAACCAAGCGCAAACCATAAACTTGCCAGTGTACGTGTCAAGCAAGCCACACTCCCTTAGCCAGGATCCAGAAGTGTGATTGCAGCAATAACCGAAGATCGTCATAATCAAGCCTGTATAGCTGGGGTGTCGCACAAATGCATATGGACCCCCCACTATGAGTCTGTGGTCCTTCTGGATGCGCAGCTCAAATGTGAATAGGTGCCCGAGTGTGCGAAAGCTTTTTATGCGAAGGGCGGTTCCGCATACACCAAGTATATTCCCAAAAATGAAAAGAGGGGTTATGCAGATGCGGCTAGCGGATTTCTGGTCGTTGAATAGAATCAATAGAAGAGATCGGGAACCTTGATAGGTGCTGCTGTTACTAGCGAAGATTACGAGGATTTCAATTAAGCACACTGTCCAGTACATCGCCTGTGAAGTATGAGTTTCGATTCTAACGGAAATTGAAGGTATCGCACACGTAGTAGGCGCGAAGGCACCGCGAGAGATCTGAGAAATCGTTCTCTCCAATCTGGGATTATGCTTTGGCACCCTGGAACAGGAGGGTTTGGCGGAGTCGCGTTAAGACGCATATTGATTGCGTCAATTACGATGAGAGGGACTTTTAAAAGAGACATTGGTGTTAGTGGTAAGTTTCAGTTCTCTTGCTCTAATTATAAAGTTCAGGACCCAGGGCTAACGAAAACTTATCAAACATGGTTTTAAAAAATGAATGCGGACACATGGTAGAGGGCATAGAACCATATGGAAGAAGGATGCTATTATGTAGGCCAGTGCGGTGAGGGGACAAATAGATTGAGTCGGACAATTCCTGAATCCATCGAGCTTGCACGTCCGAGTCCCTACTAAGGACCGCACCCCATGAACGTGACGGATTCCCATAAAGACAGCAAAATGCACGCACACGGGAAGATGCCCATTTAAGGTTACTGTGCACCATATACACTCAATGGCCGATGTGCGACATAGGCTGGGCGCATAACGAGTGGTACACATACAGCTTCGCCATTTTCCTTGCACCGTATAGTGTGGTCTACTGTTCCAGGCCTGAAGTATACTTATTCTAAGAAAGGATGCGAGGAACGTGCAAGACGCTGTATGATTGGCTGAATGTGGTAAAATAGGTGTAGTAATTCTTGATTCTGAGAAGCAGCGAGCGTTCGTAAGCGCTAGAAAAAACGAAGTCCGACTATTGTCGATTATGGACGGCGAGCATGCTTGATGGAAGTTGGGTAGATGCAGAATGTTTTTGTAACTTGAAGCCTAGTACGAGGGCGCTCCGCTATCGCCGGAATTAATGCGCTCAAGTCCAACGAACTAAAACACTGAATCGTGAACGCACCTGAACACACCTCGATTTAACCTCAATCACGTTCTCGGCTAGAGGGGGTCACGATGACGGGCGATTAAAATTTCACGCCCATAGAATAAAACTTGCTGTTGAGACCTTTTTTTAATACTATTCTATCTATATTGGATCCGATCAGTTGTGAAGAAAAACACCGTGATCAAATTATTACCCCTCCTCCGCGTTCAGCGGCATTTCTATGTTTATTTAATGAACTTCGCAGAAAGTTTCATGCGGGTATGAGGCTCAGGCAACTGATATTATGGCGCGCTGTTGACGATCTAGTTAAAAGGTACCATGCACCTTTCTCAAAGAAGAAATCAAGAATCTGTAGGGGTGGCCCCTAGCGTCATTCTCAATGTCGCTTAGACAGTGCACATTATGTCTATTCCTCGAACAGTGTTGAAAATACAGCTTTATATGAGGAAGGATAAATGCATATCGATGAATTAGAAAAAATGTGTGTGCCCTGGCGTGTTGTGCGGCGCGTGTGCTGGTGATGTGAACGATCATCGATCATGTACATGGATGTTCAGCGTTCAACGTTCAGTGCTCAGCCATCAGCACTCACACGCGCATTTTAATATGTGTAATGTATGCAACCTCTTGTCGCGGCTAGTGCGGAATCAAGATTGAGGTTCATAAGAGGCTGAATAATAAGATACAGAAACAAAGAAAATAACACGTACTTATTCAGAGAAAGCGTCAGTAACTCGAAAATCTCTCGATCAACGTAGATAATATGAATTTGTTTCCAAGCTTTGAAGCATATCACACTTTCGAGAAATCAAATCTTTGGAACAGATACAATCCGTTCATATTCATCATCTAGACCACATACAAGATCCAACTACCCAAAGATAGATCACCGAAATGCCCTAGTTGAAAGCTCTGATCGTCATAAAGTCATGAAGTCGTGAAGGGCAAAGAAGAAGTCTGCGAAGCCGTATTCTAGGTTAATACATATACGATGAAGAAAAGCCTATTAAAACTCACGTTTAATCGAGCTCGTCGAGATCGAAAAAGTCGCGAGCCTCGACGTCCTCCGCAAAATCGCGGGCATCGAACTCCTCGAGGAACTCGCGCACATCGAGTTCGTCAAAGTCCCGTGCGTCGAGCTCCTCCATGAAGTCGCGGGCCTTCTTCTTCGTGTCCTTGGCGGGGGCCTTGGTCGCGGTCTTCGCGGTCTTGGTCTGACCCTTAGCAGGAGCCTTCGCCGCCGTCTTCTTATTCGCTTTTTTGGTCTTTCCCGCCGTTTTGGTGTTGGCTGCTGTCTTGCTATTGGCTGTCTTGGTGTTGGCCGTCTTGTTTTTCACGGCCGTCTTCACCACACCCTTCGCCGGCGTCTTCGTATCCGCGTTGTCGGTGCCAGCCGCGTCTCCTGGCTTCACTGGGGGCGCCTTGCCCTTGGGCGGAGTGGCTAGCGACTTCTTGCCCTTCACTGCGCCGTACTTGTTGCGCAGGTTGCCGAGGTACATGTCGCGGGCCCCGTCGCGGGTAACGAGGGCGTCCGTGTCGGCGTGCAGGTCGCGGGTGGTGAGAGTCGAATCGGTGCTATCGGTGGTAGTGTCCCCACCCGCACCAGTGTCAGCGGTGGTGGTGGAAGAGCCAGCGGTGGAAGTGGAAGTGGAAGAGTTGTCGCTACCGGAGGCACCAGCACCAGCACCCATAGCACCAGCACCCGCAGCGTTGGCCTTAGCACTGTCCTTGCCCTTCTTGCTGCCGTGCTTGCGGTGCTTGCGGTGTTTATGCTTGCGGTGCTTCTTGTGGCCGTCCTTGTTCTCGCGCGCCTCTAGGAAGTCCTCGAGATCGAGGCCGCGCATCGCCAGCTCATCCTCAAGATCGCGAACATTGAGTGCAGAGCTGGTAGAGGTGGTGGTAGTGCCAGAAGAAGTGGCGGTGCCGGTAGTAGCGGTACCATCGGCGGGGGAAGTGCTGGTAGGGACAGAGCCAGAGCCGGTAGAGGTGGGAACAACGGTAGGAGTGGCGGTGGATGTGCCAGAAAGCGTGGATTTAGCGCCGGCAGCGGCCTTGCACTTGGCCAGACGCTGCTGCTGCTTCTTCTTGTGCTCAGCGCGCTCCTTGGCAGTCATCTTCTTCAACTTCTTGCGGTGAGCCTTCTTCTCCGCAGCTGT